AGGACAACAAATTGATAGTATTTTTGGTCTGAACAGCTCCCCATTTATAAACAAAATTCAGCCTTTCCTGTTAGACCAGAGTCCTTCTTTAACCACAACATGTGGAAATCTTTACACTTTTAATGGTTTCAAAGACGCAAGGAAAAAGGACAAAGGTTATCGCACCATGCAGAACGTGCCCTGTGCTATAAATCTTATACATTCAAGTCACAGCTATGCAATTGCATGTTAAAGGAAAACTAAAACCCATGTAGTCACCTTGGAGCCTACCCAATTACATCACAGTGCAGCACAGGTACAAATTCAAGAGAGTACGGGTAGAAAAGCCCAGAACCCTCACTATAGAACTAGTCCGTCGGCCATTTCTCCATTTCCAGTTATCTCACTCTGCAGCTCAGCTGACACCTCTAAACTACACTTCCCAGCAGTCTCTGCGGCATGAATAATAAATAGGGGCTAATGCTAAAAAGGTGAAGAGTGCATTGTCAGGACACAGAGCACTCCAGCTGCTTGGGCATGTACACTTGTAGGTTAGGACACAATTAGTTATCTGATGCTGGCTACAGGGAGTGCAAATCCTGAGGAGTAGAGAGAAAGTAGTCACCGTGATAAAAATGTTGCCGACTTGGCAGAATCAACAGGTTATAAATGTGAATAAAACAAAGATACATTAACATGCTTAACATAGGAGATTATAGTTTCTGGCCACAGATTCACCTTGATGTTTACTTCACTCTGTTACAAAGCTTCCCACAGACAAAACAGGCTTCCATCAAATCTGCGAGCAGGAGTTTGAGGTACAAGAATATCAAGAACAGAAAGGCTTAACCGTTTGGCTTCCATGGGCACAAGTACTACGTCCCTGGTAGCAGCGACCTGTAAACCAGACTCCCAGCTGTGATCGCCACCCGGAGTCTGTTTACATTTCTCCTGCAGCCTGTCAGCTTTCTGTTAGAAGTGATTTCGGCAGCTGTAAAGCCACTTCATCACTCCTACAGGTTGCAGAATGTGCTGCTCCAAAGCAACAACCAACGGCCACATATCCCAGGCTCCATTGCCCCTCCTGGGCTCCCAGGATTTCCATGGTGGGCAAAGCGGCGGGGAACCGCAGCGAACATCCGCCCCTGACTGGAACGAACCTGGAAGTGACGCCCTCTCATCACTTCCAGGTTCTGAGCTATCATTCTGCCCAGTCTCTGTGGCCATGGAAGAAGCTAATCGAATATGATCAGATAACCTGATCATAAACACGATGTCTCCTTTAAGAGAACCGGTCACCTGCACCTTGCTGTGACATGTGATAGCAATTAAGTAAAAAATATACATTTAAATTTTTTTTTTTTTTTAAGTTGAACTTCAGACAAATCCCTACATAAATGAAATGCATATAAGGGAGTTGTTTTACCTGCCAGAGGATTTGTATTTCTGTCCATGCATTTCTGAGATTTCACAGCTCTGCTGCATGGCACAGCCCTATCTGGCAGGGGAGGAAACCTGCTTTTCTCAGTTCAGGAGCACTTACAGGTCTCCTCTTCATCCTCATCCTGTAGAGTTAAAGGAGAAGCAGCAGACTGATGAGCTCATCTGTCACTTTGCTCTCTGCTTCTATCAGTATGCTCCTTAAACTGTGGCACAACTATTTGTGCAGCTTCTCCCTCTCCCAGTCTCAAACCTGCTGTACTGGGACAACAATTATGTATTAATGAACACAGAGCTTCATTAACCTCTGTCTTTTATATCTGCGTGGAGGTCAGCCAAAGGGTTGTACGTTCACCTGTCAAGAATCAAGCAATCACGATTTAGGAATTGTACGATTCCTGCAAATCGGGTCATTTTGCATGTGAATCATTTTAGACAATGAAATCAATTTGCAAATCTCTCATCTCTAGAAATACATAAGCGGTCTCAACTAGCCCTTTATTAAAAAAACATGCTAGTGAATGGCGGTCATGGAATTAATAATTCCCCCGAGTCTGTGGGCCCAGAACAAGTCTGCAGACCTAGAATTTGGACTTCACATGCTATATACATGTTACAAGTCAGTGAAAAGCTACAGTGCCAACTTCAAAATGCAACTCAAATGAGTTAAAGTGAAAAGTTATCTTCTGATTTACAGGATAACCGTACAGTTTATTAAACCTCCATGTGGAACCCCATCACCCTCCTCCAACACCCTGGACATACATTATACATACTTACATAGTATTTGAGGTTGAATAAAGACACAGGTCCATTGAGTTCAACCTTTGTGTGTCTGTGTGGGATTGTGTAGTGACCCGTTGCCCCTTTGCAGCTCTGCTCTCCTTTCCAGCACTAGCTGCTTGTTAAGGACGACATGTATGTAACCTGCTCTTGGATAAATTGTCCTATGGAGCACTGAGGACACGCTGGTGACATTCCTCACATGAGGTTATTTATATGTCCGGGGTGATGGGGATGTTGGTTTACGCCACATATAATGCCAGTCAATTTTTTGTTGGAAAGAGTGGGGAAGAGGTAGTATTTCTATCAGGCTTTTTTTTTTACGAAGGACGACGAAGGACACACGAAGGAGCACTCGGGACACATGTTTACATTTGTATGTACGTCGGCCTTCCCACTCCACCTTGCTGTGGCATGGACACAATGCCAACCTGAAATGACTTCCTATTGCTGATAAGGAGTTCCTGGTGTGCTGATCATGTGATGTGAACAACCACTCTCCTTCCAAGCCTGCCTTCTGCCAAGACTTCAGAGGCAGCGAGGACAACATGAAACCAGGACGTAAGCTCCCCTATACTGTATGCGTTTGTAAATTCGTCAGGAAAAAACTGCCGACGACATCTCCTTTTGAGAATGCTAGCTCCCTGGCTGTCATTCTAATACTTTCCCTCCAATGCTTTACAAGTCTATGACCTGCACAACGGTGCTTGTGCCAGGTCTGTTATTTTGAAAGCATCAAAAACAGACACGGCCAGGCATCTAGAATTTTCAGAAGAAATTTGGGACATGAGACCTCCCAACCAATACTTGTCTCATGACAAAGCAACCTTAAACATGGCAGTTTCAGAATACACATTATACAAGGAATGGAAGCTATGCCTAGAAAAGCCCCTGAGCTGAAAATCTCTTAATTAGATTATTAAATATTATGTACAACCTTGTTCAAAAGCAACAAAAAAGTAAGAGGGATTTCCCATATTTTTATAACACCAACGCAATCTTGAAATCAACAAATCTACAAAAGGAGCTGAAATCAATTTACAAAACAAAAAAGTTACAATAACAGGCCCTTCCTTTACAGATGTGCAAGGCATTAGGGCTTCAACGCCAACCTGCTCTGCAGACACCACTTTTAGAGAAACCTCTGTCCATAGACCACACAACTTTGTATACTACCAAAACACAAAGCATTTCAGAGCAACATGGAGATAGGAATGCACAATCCTCCTTTCATCCCTGCTGTGCTATATTGCTGCCCAAAACACTTTGCAGAGTCACTGCCCCGCCTCTTTAGTAATACATTTATAGGCCAAGTGCGGGAAGACTCAACCTTAAAAACATTCCCCCTATAAGCTGATCTAAATACCTCCTACTTGCACCAATCTGTATTCAGAGTAACCACTCCCACAAAAAGGCTGCTTTTAACGTTCAGGTGGTATGTGCGACACATCAAAAGAAAGATTTGAACCGGTTACACTGTCTACATAGGAAAAATTGTTTCATGACTGCAGAAGGAATGTACACAAATGAAATTAAAAAAACAATTGTTTTCACATATTCAGCTAAAATTTTTTCCCAAACAAAATATTTCACTGGTTTTTGCCATAGTTCTCTTTAAGGTCACAGAGATTTATGAATGTCCTTCTGTGACCCAAAACTCAGCATATAGCAGGCTATTGCCCGCTATAGGCTGACAGTGCTGCACCGCAGTTAGTACAGATCCCAACAATATTGTAAGGATCCGCTGCCTGATTGACAGCTGACTGCCTATCTAGAGGTAGAGCCAGCTGTGCCCGCCCACTCCTCTGTCCGTTCCGCCAGTCGGCGCTGGAGGAACAGGGAAGGGAGGGGGGAATCCCTGCAAGGAGTGATGACTGCCAGTGGCCACTCTCTGCAGGGCAAAGATCAGGAACTGAGCAATTAGCAGTATGTGATCGCTTAGTTTTTGATCAATAGAGCCGACGTGTGACAGCTGCAGTCTCACGTTGGCTCTAATGGGAATGGCTGCATTTCACTCTCCTCATAATTCTCATTTAAGCCTGGATATACAAGGTAACCTAGATTACATGCAAACTGTCCAAATAACATTGATCATGTTGTTTTGGCAAGAAAAGGGGTCCTCTCAGCATTGGAAAAGGCTTCTCCTAAGCGGGTCACTGTTTTGGTGACGGGCCATACAATGTAGCTTGCATAGGTGAGGTGACCAGTCAGATACCAGCCCCAATTCTCAGCTTTTACCAGGCAACACTTACATCAGTACACTAGTGAAGCCTTGTGTAGGCACTTCCTTTAGTGGAGAACATTGGTCTTTCCCTTAAAAGCACTGCCCATCTTACCAATCCCACGGATATCATGATGCAGTGAAGATCTTAAAAGGGTTCTAGCGACTAATATAGGTAAAAGAATAAAACAAAAACAAAATAAAAAGCCTATAAATACTATTTTGGAACATTCTATTTCTTTTTATTTATCCAGAGTTCAAACTTAAAGTTAATTGCATGCGACAGGTTCTTAAAAGGCACTGGTCAATATAAACCCCCTAAGTAAGGGGGAGAGAGAGAAAACACAGCCTTCTCTACCAACTCCATTACTCTATAACATTTCAACCATTTAGACTGCAACTGCAAAAATAAATAAATAGCCTGGAACTCTCTTCAGAGGCTTATCAGAGATGAACACATCTATGAAGAATTCAGGCACCATACAGTCCAATGTAGGAGCCAGGAAAATACACTTCTATTGGCAACAACAAAAAGGCTGAAGAAAGTTGCAACTATAATGTGAAATAAGCTACTTACCAACGGGAAGTCAAAATCTTTGTCGCTCGGTAAGTTTGTGACATAATCGATTCGGAACTGGTTGTCTGGATTTGCTAGCTCCACTGGAGGCGACAGGTTGCACATTGCTGCAACTATGGTCTGGTAAAGAGAGAGAGAGACTGTTAGACTGCCAAAGAAAAGAAACAAAAATCAGATCGTTATTTCTTCGGCTACTCACCTCAATAGCCTCTTTAATATTATTCTTAATATCTTGTACTTTAACCTTTTTCTCTCTAGAAGAACACAGAAAAGAAAAATCGGAGGTTTAGTAGTCAGTCGCCATACTGGTAACAGAAATGAAATTAAGACAAATGTTTGACATCTTGTGCAGTTAAAAGGACTGCGCACATAAAACAAGTATTTCAGATATGGGTGACTTTCTTTTGGGTTTACCTATACACAGGGTTCTAAGATAGCTCATGGCAAAATGTCATCTAACATCCCAAGTCTGTCCACGATGAGGACATCACCATCTCTGTGGATTGTTAAAATCTTTTCACGACTAATAATATGACAGAAATTAGTGAGACCTTATAGCAGGAGTAGCCAAACTTCGGCCATCCAGCTATGGTGAAATTACAAATCCCATCATGCTTCTGCGAGTCATGCCTGTTGCTGCAAGTCTTGCAATGCCTCATGGTATGGTTAGTTGTTGGAGGGCAAAGGTTTGGCTCCCCCCTGCTCTATAGTGTAGCAGGACAGAAGCAAAACTCTAACCAGGGTTGGGGGTCAGTGATGGGATGATCAGAATTGTTATAAAAGATGGAAAGCGAACCAATAACTTCATGACGAATCTTTGACCATCAACATGTGATTCACCAAGAAAAGTTCAGCTGTCTGAAAGAGCAGTGGTTATAATAGTGGTGAGGCTGCCAACAATGACCAATTACCTTCCAATTTTCATTTCAGCAAGCCAAGACTTGCAGGAATTAGAGATGCTGCCTTGATCCAGTTTGGGTACATGTACACCAACAACTGGAATGTTTTTGCAATGCTTAAGCTAAGCATCACCTTAAAGCAGGGCTGCACAGATCCAAGGAGCCAGGTCGCCGATGCTCTTGATAGCTACTGCCTAACGTTTGGAGGTTTCTCTGGTTGTTGCCAATGGAGCTGGCACTTAAAAAAAAAACCAAAAAAACAATTATATATATATATGTGTGTGTGTGTGTGTATATTTATATACACATATACTGCTGGCTCCTAGATTCCATATTCATAAGTATATATATATATATATATATATGTTCATAAGTCAGTTCTGTATAAAACACAGGGACAGCAATGCTACCATATTCAATTTGCCCAAAATCCACCAAAAAACTACATGTTCTATTCAGGTACCAAAGCCCAATTTAATGTAACAGTGTTTTGCACTAGCCACGGCACTTTGGGTCTGCCCTAGAACAACACGGGTCAACTGATTAAACTTAAAACTGGATTTAAAATGATTTCGGGGGGTGGAGAGACATCCTATCTACTTAATAGTTACAGTTTGCATCCTGGAATACACTTTGAGCATGTGCTGGCTCCTGTAGCCCTATAGCTGCCGGCATCAGTTAACAGCCATGGAAGTGTTAACATGTAACCAAGTGTTTCTTTATTCTTTTTTTGGACACACCAGAGCATAAAAAAGGGAAATTGTAGAGAGCAGAATCATGTGACAAGATGCCTCAAACCCAACCAGAATAGAAGAAACCTTTTGAAGTAACCTGGCACAACCGAGGCTCCTAGCCAGCGCTAAAGGCTGCCAATGCCATCACTGTGCAAACTACTGCAGATTTGTGCTCTGTCCTGGAACAATGGCAGCCTTCAGCTCTGGACGAGAGACAACTGCCCCGAAAGCCCATTAGAACCTATGCAGAGGTATTAAAAAAAATCCATATGCCAGCAAATGTACACGGAGTACACATGAAGCAGGCATATGCAGTAGCTCCATATGAACACAGAAACTAACGTTTGCTTGTCCTCTTCATGGCTCCCTTTGAAAAGGCCCCCACTGTGCTTTGCTGACAGTCTGTGTAAATTAACACTCTCTCTCTGCGTGCCCTACGTCCATTCCTTAGTATTCATAGTGGGAACCCCCCTGGACAGTGTATTGTGACCTAGAAAGGAAGAGCTGGTGTAAAGTGATTTTTTTACAATGACTCTCAGGGAGGGGGACAGCTGCCTTACAATCCGACCCCGGTGTCGGACTGAGCTTCCAGGGGAACCCCCCTGGACAGTGTATTGTGACCTAGAAAGGCAGAGCTGGTGTGCAGTGATTTTTTTACAATGCCTCTCAGGGAGGGGGTCAGCTGCTTTATAACCTGACCCCGGTGTCGGACTGAGCTTCCAGGGGAACCCCCCTGGACAGTGTATTGTGACCTAGAAAGGCAGAGCTGGTGTGCAGTGATCTTTTTACAATGACTCTCAGGGAGGGGGACAGCTGCTTTACAATCCGACTCCGGTGTCGGACTGAGCTTCCTGGGGAGACAATTTTAAATTTGTAGGACTCAGGCCTACTAAAAAGTCTAAAAAAAAACCAAACAAATTTTTTTACAAAAACAAGAAATGTAAGTCATGAAAATGTGCACACATATACATCATCACTGCACCGCTACATTACTGCACCTCTACATTACCACAATAAATGTTAATCACACAAAAAAGGTAGAAATAGGGGGGAAAGTTTATGTTTAAATAAAATGTGTCGCAAATTCAGGCAGTAGTAACGGGGCATATGATGAAATAAATGCACAGGTAGATAAATGCACAGGTAGATGCATCGGTAGATGCTGACTTTGGGTCACAGGAGTACCGACACTCCCCCCCCGCCCCCCCCAAAAAAAGAAGGTTTAGCTTTAGGTTTTCTTTTCAAGATCTCACGGCCTGGGTCATACATTATATTATATTCCCAAAATAAAAAAAATGCCCCTTAGCATGTCCCCTAATTACACATTGCAAGCTATTCTAAACAGTAGAAGCTCCCTACAGAGTCCTAGGTATAAATATATTTTTAGGTACGCTGAGTGAAAGGGAACACAAACACAGTGTGGGGGGGGGGTAGAGGGTCTCTCGAATTTGACTGCCATGGTGGAAATACACTTCAAGGCCACTGAACGCAGCAAGTATTCCATCCACATTTCTAACGAACCAGGAAACACAAATCTGAATGGTGGCAGCCATCCCATCCGTGGCCTCTGTGGAAGTGAAGAGATGGCGGTCATGTGATCCAGAAGCCTTATAAGGCAATCACTTCCCTCTCATACAGAAACACACAGAGTCAATTAGTATGGTCAGGTTCTGAGACTTTCTGGAACAGAGGAATAGACACACTGTAAGTGGGAGGACGCAGCCGGCACTGACACACACAGCATCTTCAGTCTTGGCAAATCCACTGACAAAGCGGCATCAATCTGTGCACCAGGGGAACAGAACACGAGCACTGCCAACATGTTAACCCTCGCGGCAGGTGCACCCGCTTCATCAGCATTTAGTGGGAACGGCCGGGAGAGGAGGATGATGTACATGGGCAAATTTCACTTCCAAGGAGCGTCACACACTTTGGGGAAAGCAAGAGTTAATTAGTGCTATTAGGAGAGGGTGGCTGCAGGATTTTTCCTTGTTTCTATAAAAGGTGGTAATATACGGTATGTCTTCGCACAGATTTGCTTGCTGAAACAGCCACTGCTTCTATGTGTTCCGCGGTCTCCCCCTTATGAATACCAATCCTGACACTGTAAGATGCCTCATCAACGCTGCCCTGCATCACAATGTGCCCCTGGAGGGCATCGAAATCCGATGTAAATCTCTACTTTGTAAAAGATCGTATTTACATAGGGCCTGGTATGTTCCACCTGCCCCTTCATGTGAGAGCACCTAAGGCCTTACAATTTCACCTGTGCCCATTAACCCCAAGCTCTGTTAGGTGGGGGGGACACAAACAAAATTGATATTTGCATGCCCCTTACCCCCACACCTATATAATGTGACACTACCTAGGGCCAATGTCACATTGGGAGGATATGCGTGTGGGAAGATTTGAGGTGAGGTGCACCACCTATATGGAAAAAACAAGTGTGCATGGGCATAAGGCTTAGCAGGTCCCATGAGCAGTGTGGTTACACACGGAAAGTTGGGGTATCCATCTCAATGCAAATACTGACTTACAGAAACATAGTATCTGCATAGATTTTTCAGGGGGCTTCATGGACAGATGAGAGCAGCAGCAGGCACCTCATTATGCCCAATATGACATAAAGCTTACTTCTCAAACTTGATGCAGGTTTACTTTAAAGAAGAACTCCAATATGATTACAAAGTGTGACTATACTAAACTAATTTCAGAAAAACAACAATTCATTATTTAAAAAGAAGGAAAGATTTCTGATTTTAGAACATTGTGTGTGAGGCCAGTCCTCCTCTATAGCTTGTCCTAGCTATAAAGAGTCAATGTGTATAGGCCAGGGGTAGACAATCTTGGCTCTCCAGCTGTGCTGAAACTACAAATTCCATCATGCTTCTGCCTCTGGGAGTCATGCCTGTGGCTTGCACAATGCCTTATGGGATTTGTAGTTTCAGCACAGCTGGAGAGCCAAGGTTGCCTACCCCTGGTATAGGCAAACAATGACAAGCCCTGGAACTAACTGATGTTTCCCTGTAAATGAAGACTCACAACATTGCTTCCCAATGGGAATTCTGTTCTCTGGTCATGAGCGGTGTTGGCTAGCATCAAGGTGAAAAAGTAAAGTTTAGGTCTTATCAGAGTAGAATACTTATTCCAAGTTTCCTGTATTTAACAAAATGCCTTTTGCCTTCAAACAGCATTTGATGTGGATTTCTTTTTCAGCAAAGCTGCTCTATGAACACTCCCATGATGCATGTGGATGTCTGATGCTTTCAGTTACCACAGGCATCATGGATGCTTGTGTGACCAATGCCCTCCTTATCAGCACTAACTTCTATTTGGAACAAAGTCATCCGTACGCAGAGTATTAGCTGCACCATGGGGTCATTCAGGGCCCACCACAACTCACTTGTGCTCACCTTGCCAGTGCTCCCTCAAATGCCCCTTCCTCTATCAAACCTGGCATTAACATCCCTAGCTTTGGACACTCGGGGGGAGCATGGATATCACCCGCTCCAGCCTACGACAGTGCTTGGGCCTAGTAATTGGCTGGTTGACCCAAGCAGTGTAACACAGAGGTGGTCGTATGCTTACCCATTGCTGGGATCAATGAAGAGAGCTGAAAGAGTGGCAACAAGGCATCAGTGGGTTGGAAGGGGGACTCTATACACAGACATATGAATTGACAAACCTGAACTAGAACACTTAGGAATGCTGGGGTCCCCATGTGCAAGTATGCAGACCATTTTTACAATTTATGGCATGTTTACCCTGTGGATACCCTTCTCCAAAGATGCAATGGATGCACTCCCCCTCCACTAGTGCTCCGCATGCTTCAGGCCCCATCGCAAGTTGATAGCGTTACAATTTTTTCTCTGTAGCTAAAGTGGGAAAAGCTAGCCTTGTGGACAGTAGTATCACTTCCCCCATTACTCCGCATGCTTCCGGAACCACCGACCGAGCACCAATGGGGCTTAATGGTTTGAAATAGAACTATCCTCATGTAAAGGACTTGGCAAAGGCTGTGTCACACTTCCCAAGAAATCTACACCAAGAGAAATATGGAGGCTGCCAATGTATATTTAATTCTGGAAATTCTAGTTTGGCCCCCTCTGACTTTAATACATTGAACCCCCATTCATACCTGAGCATTTTGTCACGTTTCCTAAAGAGTGACAGCGATCAACACAAAGAACCCCATTATTTTTAATGGCGCCTGTGCAAACAGGAGCGTTCTGCTGCCTGTAGTTAAAAAAAGTACAGGAACTTTGGATTATACATCGCACATTTTTGGCCCCCTAAACATTAATGAAAGTGCCTGAAAGGTCTTGGACCATCACTATTAACATTTCTTTGATGATTTGAGTGTCAATAAAGGCATTTTCTGATGAACCTGCAATGGTGTGCTGGCGACTTAACTTCTGCTATTGAAAAACGTGCCTAACAAACATCTCTTCCAAGTAACTAGCTTTCTATTGTCTATTACAAGCCTGAAAAATAAAAAAATAAAAAAATTGAAATGCTCGTGTTCAGTGTGTATGGGGATTGAGACATTAGCCCAAAAGAAGCATTTAGCAAGTGAACTCAGAATGTCTGATCTGCAGACTTTTATGAGGTCAGCAATTTAGAATTGAATGAAGCCGCTCGAACTGCTGCACAATCAGGCAACTAGCATTTTTAGAAGTCGCCAATGGAAGCCAGAAGATGCGGCAGTCAGATACAGGCCTTCTGTGAAATAAATGACAATACAAAGATGTCCTTTTGGGAAGTCTTATTTGCATATGTGTTTACAGAAGCATTGTCTAGTCACACTGCTTGTGATTAGTTGTTTGGCTCTGCTCATACCCCAAAAATCTTGTTGTGAAAACCTTGCACAACCAAGGAAGATTCCCCAGCAGAAACCAGTCTTTAAATACACAAAGTGAGCAGGTACAGGAAGAGTGGGGTAGACTATGGGTGTTGCTAGGAAGCAGATTCTTCATGCTACTACTGAGCCAGCCAGCAAACTGGCACGACTATGACAGCTTATCAGGACCGTCTTCCAAAAAGCACTGAACTAGGCTCGGCACTGTCAAGGCGTTTCATGTTTCTCTAGGTTCCTCAGCCCGAGCCTGAAAACAAAGTCCAACTTCTATGCAACATCCTGTACGTCAACCTGGACAAGATAAAAATAAAACTTGCAGGCGTGCAATCAGCATTTACCTGCAGCTGTGGAGAACTTTAAATGGAGCTCCCTCCGGTCTAAACTAAATTTTCTGTATAGTTTGTTTAGATGTCTAAAGATGCCACGTGTCCGAGAGGCATGCTTAGATTCCAATAACTGCTTTCATAAGTCTAATGTGGAGAACAGTTTGTCTGTTCCCACCCCATTTAACAATACTTGTAGTCACATCAGTGGCCCCCTTCTATGATGCCTCATCATGATGGAAACATACAAATAAATTTAGAATAAATACATGCTTAAGGCTGAACTCCAGGTACCCTCCAAATCCAACCATAGCCTAAACGCGTGTAGTAGGCAATGAAACTTTTAAATATTCAGCTATACACTGAGCGTCTGAATGAACCGGCCAAAATCCGCTTAATGGGTGGCCCTGTCTGCCCGCTTCCACCCATCATACTTCCATCGAAAAATCAAAGGGGCTGGGTGGGAAATTGTCGGCCCAACAGCACCTGTCTCTAATCAGATGCCGGCACTGTTAGGTCATTTTGATAGCGAGCAGGGCCAACTGTCCAATAGTCAGCATGGATTGAGGGGTTTGTCCAATTTTTTCAGTCCAGCCCGAAAGATCCAAAGTATATACCCAACAATAGTATACTTTAGAAAAATCAGCTCCCGTAATCCCCTTGTGCCCCAAATAAAACTGCAGGGTAGGGTTTTTCAATGACAAGACGCATGGGTTGCTGTAAATTGTCATGCATTTGGAAAGCTGGAGTAGATAGTTGTGCAGCATCAAGAGTGCAGAATGGTGAGGGTAGACAAATTAATATGGAATTCAAGAGCCAGGCTGTCCACTCCAGGAACCAGCTTCATTGACAACTACAGAAAACCTCAAAAAGGTTGGCTACCTGACTTCCGGGATTTATTCCTGCCCTGGGCTATACACAAACACTCAGCCTTGCGCAAGGACCAGGCTCTACACCAAAAGAAAGGGAGGAGGCATCAATCATTGGGCAGGGTTGTAGAGAGACCATTACTACTTCTCAATTTTCCTGACCTGGGCATGGACTCTCTTGTAGTCTAATATGTTGGTTGTCTATAGACCCTTCTTTTGAATATACTGGGACAGGGAAAAGAAAATAGACTAGTCTTCGGTAATGGGCTGTACATTTCATGGTAACATTTGGTCAACACAAACGATTATCAAGCTCCATTCTGGGTAGGATGGCACCTATGTTTTTGGACATGTGTAGCTTCTGTTGTGCCTGGAGTTCAACATGAATCTCCAAAATGAAATACTGGAACCCCCATAATGTGCCAGCACTGACTATTTCATCACGGCTGCAGTGAACTCAGATCAGCGAAAATAACATGGTAACCTCAAGGAGAGCGATTTATTCAAAATAACACTACACTGAAACCTCAACTCGTATATTCACCTCTTAAAAAGCATGCAGAGGATGTCACACCTGATACAACAGTTTGTATGAAATCAGGCCTCCAGTTCTCAAAATAGTTTCATGAGAGAAGGAAGCCTAGCACTAGAAAAGGCGATGAAGATTGAAAAAGTGGAGACGGGTGCTATAGTGTTCAACAGCCATCAAATACTTTACAAAAAGGACTCGAACTTTTTTTTTTTTTAACATTTCCTCCACTCAAATGGGCCATGCCTGCCCCATCACAAGCAACTACCAAGTACACAAGCTATTTAACTATTGAGCCACCATTTAATCAGATACAGACGCGCTGTTGACTCTAAGCTCACAGCAAGGTGTGTTTTAAGCCTTTAAAAGGAGAACTATGGGGTTAAGGCTTTCCCCCATAGTTCTCCTTAGGGTAACGGGAGGACACAAACTAGCGTCCTCCCGTCACCCCAAGCTCAGTATACTGCGAGCTACTGCTCACAGTATACTGAGACGCCGCAGCTAAAGCCGATCCCGACAATTATGTCTGGATCCGCCCAGCTGCGTGAGTGACAGCTGGCTCTGCCTATCTAGAGGCAGAGCCAGCTGTACCCGCTCCTTCCCCTGTCACGGGGGGAATCCAGCCCCTCCCCCTGTCACGGCAGAGAGCCGTGACAGGATCGAGAGGTGAGCGAACGCCGGTATGGGTTCGGTCACCTCTCGATCTACTGAGCCGACCTGTGACAGTCTCATTGTCACAGGTCGGCTAGAACTATGAGGTGAGTGAAAAGCACTCACCTCATAGTTCTCCTTTAAATTGTTACTCTAGGCACACAAAAAAAAAGTTTGGGATGGAATGCGGAAGAGTCAGGCCCTTTGTTACGTTATTAATAATGCCTGTGTCCCTATTGGGGAGATCAACTGGAGACCACTATCACTGATAAAGGGGAGGGGAAATCTAAAATGTTAAAGCTGTCCCCAGGACTCTTTCTCAGAATTCCCTGTCCCCAGCTAAGAAGGGACCTCTTGATAAAAGGTAAATATTCCAATAGAGGCCCCTGTTCTGAGGGTAGCTAAGAAGGGAATTCCCCATCACTTCCTATAACCCTCTGTTGTGAGACAGCAAAAATACAGCCCGACAGGGGGTTTCAAAACTAAAAACAAGGTCTGGCTATAGAGTATAAAAAAAACACACAAAGAAAACAAAACAGATTGATGAAATGACTAAACAACCAAACAAAAAGCAAGCCTATATCTATCTAATGCATCTATATCTTCTGTCCAGCCATGCACTGGGCACACAGCATTCACAGCACAACATGAAGCCAAGGAGCACAGGAAAGTCCCAAGCTACTTGACTCCATCTAGTGGCGGGAATGCCATGCAAAGGGAATTCGCCCACCATATATGTCTGTGGGTACGTTTCACAAATAGACGCCCAAGTCAAAAAAAATCTACCAAAATTTCTTTAAAAAAAGGCTACGTCTGGCCAAATTAATAAAAAAAAACCCAGTGCATCACTGTCAAATGGTTGCGTTTATTTTGCCCAGGCATACTCTTTAACTTGACTTCTTCCTACTCTAATGCAGTCAGACTGTAAATAGGTTTTCATATGCTCAGGAGGATATTCCCAGAGTCTACAATACCAATCAGATTCAAGCCTTATTAGAAGGTATGAATCTGATTGGAGGCCGTCAGACACCTGTTACTGTCAGCATTGTGTGTACAACTGACAGCAAGCAGCAGGTGTACTTGGGAGCACTTTGACAACACTAAGCAAAAGGAAACCACTGGTCTGAAGATTGCAAACAAAAAGTAACTAAAATCTTTACAAAAGAGAGAGCTGCTACTATGCAGCCCAGGACTAAACATCCCAATCAATAGTGTAGCCAAGGGGTGCCCATTAGGTAGATTGTGATCTACCAGTAGCTCTCAAAGCTGATGCTGGTAGATCACGAAGGGTGTGAATGGCGGCCCATATTCCATTTCGGTATATTTATTTAGCTGTGCACACATGATTACCTATTAGCCCGAGTCTGCTGAGCCCAGCTCCCTGACACTTTCTGGTGGATACTGGTGGTTGTAGTGCTATGTATTACAACAAAGAATATTAGTTTACACAGCCTGTTGCAAAATACAGCAAGGTGAGCTGGGAGAAACAGCCAGGGGAGAGCCAGTCAAGAGAGAGAGCGAGGAGAGCCAGCCAAGAGAGAGAGCGAGGAGAGCCAGTCAGGAGAGAGAGCGAGGAGAGCCAGTCAGGAGAGAGAGCCAGTCAGGAGAGAGAGAGCCAGTCAGGAGAGAGAGAGCGAGTCAGGAGAGAGAGAGAGAGAGAGAGAGAGAGAGAGTTTTTTTCGTTGGTAGATCTCATGTAGCTCGTCATTTGAAAAGTAGATCTTAACACAAACATTGTGGGCACCCCTGGTGTAGCTCTTCTTTTCCCTCTCCTACATATCATGGTGACTGGCCTCATAGCCAACACAGAGAAGAAAAAGGGAGAGAACAGAGCCTAAAAAAAAGAAAAGAGAAGGGTAGGCGGGACTCAATGCTTTTCTTATCCTAAAGTGAGTTGTTTTACCAACAGGACCTTGGGGCTGTGGTATGTGACCAGATAAGACAGAAATCATGCTCAGTATACCTTGGAATTCAGGTTAAAAAACCCCCCAATAATAATCACATGACCATAAATGCCCACGACAAAAGGGGACAGCAAGACTAAGACCGACAATATCCTGACAGGCACAGAAGCAGGTTATAAAAACAAGTCCATCGTTTTATGAACTTACTCAGCATTAAATCCATTCACATGAAGGATTCTCATTTGCTTCACGATTGTGCTTTTCCCAGATTCTCCAGCACCTGAAACAGAACAAAACAAACAATTAACAGGGTTAAATAATAGGAAACAAAATGCAGTACCTACCACACTCAGTGGCAGCAATTATGAGCCACGTATTTGGAAAAGAAACCAGTTGCAGAGGGGCACACAGAAGAGGTGGATGAGTTCATGATAAGAGGGAGCGACACACAATTGCAAAGGTCAGGAACATTCAGCCTAATCTAGGATCTAGGGGGGTCATTTCAAGAAGCAGAAAATGCTGCAATAAGCAAAGTTAAAGATTTCATAAAAGTTCTGAGAGTGTTTGACCAGAGTTTTCTTAAAATGAATCAAGACCACGCTGTCATCAAGCAGTTCTGGACCGTTTTGCCATTTCTGTACTATTAGTGGTGGGATATTAGCTTTTTTTGGCACATTTGCAGACCGCAATATAGAAGCTGTATACAGTCCAAATACCATATAGAACAGGGGTAGCCAAAATGAACCAGGGGCTTCAAAGACACATGCACGACAGGATTTGTAGTGTCGCCACAGCTTAAGGGCCAGAGTTTGCTTACCCCAATATAGAATAATCCAGCAGGACTGGGGCCACAATGATTTCTATACATTACAGCATTATATTAGTAGCTGCTGCGTGAGTGAACTGCTGCAGGTCTGAGCACTGTTTGCTCGACACATATGGTTCTGTTCCAAAGAGGAGTAATACTGGTTTGGACCCCAGAAAGGCAACCTTCCGTGTGAAGGTGACAAGCGCATACAATGGAGCACTGTTTCAGAGGAATAATGATCAGGTGGTGATGAACGCAAATCCAGCAACTAGAACACTAACCACTTATTACAAACAAACAAAAACCAAACCAATAGAGCCAGACAAAAGGGTTTCCCTACTGATCTCTATAAAAGCAAATGATCATTTCACACTATCAGCAAAGCACCCCGACATGTAAGGAACTCTGTGCATTACAAGGAGACCCCCCACAACCACCAAGGCACTATGTACATTACACTTTACACTACCAGTCAAGTCCGACAGGTCCTGCAAGCCATAAAATCAAGCACAACCAATTCAAAAACTCAGAGTTTTATATTTTATTGGTATCAAAAGCCAGACACATTAAAGGGCAATTATAAAATACCCCCCTCTGGCCCTGCTCATCACAATCAACCCCTTGTATATGTTGGGAGATGCTATGGGCAGGAGAAGTGCCAGAGTCCATCAACACATCACATCATTTACTCCCTATGGGAGTACATAACACGTACACAAGTTGCACATGTGATCACGCTGGACAATATGCTCAAGGAGAAGACTCTAAATAATAGCTAGCCCTGGGCAAGCCAGGCATCAGAGTCAAAAGTTCTGAATGGTGAGTGTGTGTGTGTGTTCATATTTCCCATACACTTTAATGACCCCAGCACCACCCACAGCATAATTATCTATCTCTCACACACACAACCAACACATATCATCTAAATTCATTAGCTGACAGGGCAGCGTATGCACTAAAGAGACATTTGGACACTGTTTTTAAGAGCAAGAAGGTAAAATGCTGGTACAGAACCAACAACTAGGTAATAAAAACGGGCACAGGCTATTTTAAAGCTCTGCCAACTATGCACAACACTATTATGTAGCATTCTTGAGGTCCAAACAAGGCCATGGCTTTACTAACTAGGTCATTCTGTCGCTGCCACCAAAGCCTATTGCTGCATCCGAGGAAGGAACGCAACCCACAAAAATGACCTGACAACTTTAAAAGATCCCCAAGAAGGTCTTATGTTTATCAGATGCTGCGTCCAACTATTGCAGGGGGTCAGCAACCTGTGGCTCCGGAGCCGCATGTGGCTCTTTCATCTCTCTGCTGCGGCTCCCTGTCCAGGGGCGGCACTACATCTGAGGCTGTGGGGGGGCCCAGTGAGGTGGAATATGCGGCAGTGCAGGGGCCCCGCACTGCCGACGGGCTTCTCAGTAAGGGGGCGGGTCTTGTGATTCACCTCCTCTCCCGGCCGCATCCCTAGTAACAGGCGGCGGGAGAGGAGAAGTGTGTGTCACATGCCCCGCCCCCTGCATTGCACACCGTCTGGCTGGGATGCTGGCTGTGAGGCTTGGTAGGTGAGTCCAGTGCGTTACTAAGCCCAGAGTCCAGTGCGTTACTAAGCCCACTTATTCCTATATACATGCTATACATAGCATTAAGGTAAAAAATTATATCTGGAGTGTTATCTTCAGGTTATCTCCATTTTAGATGTCAAAAGGGTTTTGTGGCTCCCGGTGTTCTCTTTTCTGGGGGAAATAGCTCTTAAGATTGCTGACCCCATACCTATTGGAAGGACGTCGTGAGGTTTTGTTGGTTGTGCGTGCTAGGCGTTATAATAGCAGACCTACAAACTATATAAACAAAACAAGAATTATAATGTTCACACTACAGTAAAAGTGAAAGAAGCGCCACTTTTTTTGAAGTGTCATCAAACATCATTTAGGCCGATTTATGTAAATAAATACGTTTTAGGAGTTTACAAAAAAAGAAGATAGTTAAAGTGACACTAAACGCAGGAGTTAAATCTCAAAAGTGCATTCAAGTACTTTAAAAGAGGAACTTTACCCATATCTGTAAAATAACAAACACCTTTAGAAATGTTTAGTAATAGCAATCTACAAGCAAATATTTATAGATAAGTGTCGGCTTTTTATTCTTTGCATTCCTTAGTTCTCTTTTCTATCCCAGTCTTCTCACAGTGGCCATTTTTACTAAGGGCAGATTAATATTTACTTCCCTTTACTTCCTGGAAATCTGGCACATGTGACCATGCACATCATCTCAGGGGAGGAAAATGCTTTTCTCTGAGATTACAGATGAGATTTCCCAGCAATGCTCTGCTGATGTAACCTTCCCAGAATGCAATGCTTTTGGCACATTACATGATTTGTGGCAGAAGTGGACCAGGAAGTAAATGAACTCTATTTGTAAGTAAATGAAACACATGCTTGCTTAACTAATGAATGTGAGAATTTTTAAATCAGCACGCAGAGCTGCGTGGTAATGTGTTTTTTAGTGAAAGGGGGTAAAAGGTCCACTTAAATATTAACAAAAATGTCTCTTATTTGTGTATCACTCGGCTGTAGATCCTCAAATCATCTCTGAATTGGTGCCGACGCTGTCCTTCCTTCTGTAGGGGGGGGGGATACTTTTGTTCTCCATGGTCCCTGTGTGTGTTGTAAAGTAGCTGCAAGCTACTTAGGTTTAGTTTATTAATTTGTATTGAGATTGTAGTCCATCACAGGAGTGAGCTTTGAGTGATGACTACTTTACAACACACACAGGGACCATGGGGAACAAAAGTATCCATCCTCCAGAAGAAAGGACAGTGTCGGCACCAATTCAGAGATGATTTCGGGCTCTACAGCTGACTGATACACAAATAAGGTACATATTTGTTAATAGTTGGGGCACTTGAATGTATTAAGATTTCATTCCCGAGTTAAGTGTCACTTTAAAACATAAAGCGTAATTTTTAAAGGCTCTGGTGATTTCCAAGTTCATGCTATGCGTTGGTGTACGGATTATTGGTTGAATCTGAAAGTGTCGGAAATACTGATTAACTTGATTGGACCACAGCAACAAATAATATAAAAGCCAACTCAGGGAAGGAGAAAAACACCCTTGCAGTGATGTTCCCTACACTTCAAGGGGTAAATGATTGTTAAGGGGATGAAGAGGCTGTATTACTTACCATAATCCCCACTCCAGCGCTCTCCTCTTTGACTCGACACTCCAGGCTGTGGGAAGTCCCTCGATATATGTCGAAATTCACAGTGTATGGCCAGTGTATGGCCAGACTCTTTCTTCCTCAATCTCTAAACTTAACCATTTAACACCTGCAGTGTGAGGAAGACTGACTGCAAGGGGTTTTCTTTTCCCTCCAACTCAAAGTTGGGTTTAAATGTTTTAGGTCTACACTTGATTTTTGGTTTTGAATCGGAGGTTTTAATCTTATTTTCAGATACTTTAACTGACCAGATCCTTTTTACATTTGCAACTGATAAATGTTATTTGTTAGTTTGTAAAATTTCCACTGCTATCCAGATCAACACAAATCTCCTACTGCACAAAGCACAGGCGAAACCTGGAGCATACAAGGAACGTGATACACTTGTTCCTTTTTTTGATGCTTGCATGTCAAACACATGCACTTAACTCATGACTGTGCATGAAATTAGCAATCTGTTTCACTGATCTCCACAACCAAATAAAGCTTTTTGTATGTTCCCACTTTAAAGTAGAGTATACACAGGATGCATTTCAGCTGGTTCCTCATGAACTAGGTGAAATGTGCACAGGAGGTGCCGCTGTCAGCACCATTCTGCCCAGCATCTCTTGATCAGCTGAATGAAGGAGCCAGTTGAAAAATTCTGGGCCGAACAGAATTAGCAGCCATTACCAGGCTCTAGCATTAAGTGTGGCCACCGCCACCATTGGCATTCCTGATTGATGCTCAACATTTCAGAATTCTACAATGAGTCTAGGATATGACCGTTTACTGGCAGTAAGTTTTAATATCTGACTTTAATGTAAAACCTTGTTTTCTAGTTTTGGCTTGAAGGGATAGAAAGGGCCCATCAGGATTTTACTGCCGCGTCCCTACTGAAAGATTCCATTAACGTCACATCCGAGTGTCCACATAAGAAACAAGGAAGTGTTCCCAAATGAGACAGACAGTACTGGATATTTGACAGAGGATCTAAACCAGGGCTGGACAAATCCCATGATCCAGGTCGCCATTGCTCCCAAAAAATTACAGCTGGAGCTTAACTTTTGAGGTGTTCTCATGTTGTTGTCAATGGAACTGGCTCCATAAACAATCCTCCTGGCTCCTGATTCCCATATTAAATTTGTCCACCCCTGGTCTAACCTTTTATCCAAACAAAAGCTTTCCCTTGAGTTCCACTTTAAGTAAACATCTACCAATGTCTACTTGATTATCTCTCCTCACTCTTTGTGATCTAAGGGTGGTCTGATAG